AATAAACACCATTTTTTAATCAGTTCTGCCTCTCTCTACATCCCTCTTGCCCCTCATCCAACATTTTTCTCACAGCCATAATGAGGAGGACCCAATCTTTTTATCAGGAACGATGGGGTGCAGGTGCTTACTACTCACTTCTTGACGTTTTCCTCCCGACACCGGGTAGTATTCCACCTTATATCTATCCACACTGTCAGAAGGAGGTGTCCACCTCACTCTAAAAGAACGATGAGTTCGCTCAGAAATAACTAAGTTAGAAGGTGCTTCCAAGTCACCTACACATGGAAATAAAGTGCATACACTTTTTTCATTATTGTAGCAAAGACAGAAATTAGATTGAAACAATACTAGTCTCCATATTCTGAGCTTTTGCACATTTCCTTTCACATAGTAAGTAACTACAATAAGTCAGTATAGAAACCCATTGCCCACAAGACCTCTCTGAATGGGTAGCCAAGGGGTTTTTCAGCCTCAGAAGATTCTAACCTGAGTTCGTTGTCTTTCCTCAAAACTTGACCCTCCACTTCCTCACACCACCAGTTTACCAGTCACCTAGAATCAAAACCTCTGAACCTCCTCTCTCTCCCCTTGTATATATATAATCTATAAACAAGGATTTAGGTCCTGACGACTGAGCTTCTCCATAGNTATATATAGTCGTGTCTTATTCCCTTGACTAAAAGCTATGCTCTGTGAGGATAGAATTGGTCTCTTATTCATGTTTAGTTCCTTACATGACCTAGTTCTGTAATAAGAGAAGCTAACAACTTTCCCACTCAAGAGAGAGTGAAAACAAGTAAGTATTTAAACTTGGGAACATCCTATTGCTTGTGATTGTGCTCTCTGTGAATAGATATAGATGAAACGGCTAATGCATAACAATATCTGCAATAAATATCAATGAAAATAAAAATACTAAGCTCAATATGACTAACAGGCGGATGTTCCAAACAATAGTTCAAAGAGAAAGGAATTAATCCAATGACTCCATGAGCATGGCAAATCATTCTCAAATAAACTCTTTCTACTTTCTTTGTAAGCCAAAACTGGGGGAAAGCATTTCCATTCTTAGTATCCTAACCTTTATTATACTTGGATCACAGTCAANCTGGGGGAAAGCATTTCCATTCTTAGTATCCTAACCTTTATTATACTTGGATCACAGTCAAACCTACAAAATTACCAAGCAATTTTACTGCCTGGGAAACTAGAATGAATGCAACTATTACACAGTTGATAAAAAAATAAATAAAGGAAAACAGATAAAAGATATTTTCATCCCCACTCAAAATTCTCTCCAACTGAATAAAACTACAACTCTCTCAGCTAATCCAGAGCCAGGAGCCTACAAATTCTGGCTGCCCAGCTGGTCTATTTCTCCAGGGAAAAGGTCAATCTATTGTTCAAAATTCAAAAAAGAAAATCTGCAAAAATTTAGAGAGAGAGAGACTAAAGAAGGAGCATTCAAAGAAATGCATCCCCAGTACAAAATAGATGAACCATTTTTACCACATTCATTGTTAAACTTAGTCTAACTTTTCCAAAAAACAGAATAAATTAATGAATGACAGTTTCTACCATAATCTACATGTACTTAAAAGGAATTTTTCTCATATAATAAGAACCATAATTTTTATCATTAATTTTCCAAAAAACTTCAAATTTGGTGCTTACCATATTTGGTCCTATGATTTACACAGATAGTAATCACTCTGCACCATCCTTTGTTACTACAAATCCAGTGCTATAATTTTATTTCTAAATCCTAATTCCTTATCCATAGCTCCTTTTTTAAAGACCCCTAAAAACATATTTAATCATCTGTGTAGAGGGTTAAAAAGTCCTTGGTTAAGGGACAACAGCTCACAACTAGGGGGCAACAGTCCACCTAATCAATTCTAATCAAGTAAATGTTCATTCTCCATTGATTTTTAGAATAGGATTTTCAGGAGATGCATGTATAGGACAAAAGTCCTTGGTTAGGGGACAACAACCCACAACTAGGGGCAATGGCCCATCTAACCAATTCTAATCACTGTTTAGTGATGGGATTATGTACTTTGATTATTCAATATACTGATTGTTGTTAAAAGATATTGAAAGAATTGCTGTGGGGAAAAATGTGAAAAAATGTTTGTTAAGGACAAGCTGTTGGTGGAAACTTTAGAGACAATTATACTTAGCTTTAATCATAAGAATGTAACATTTGCTTAAGTCATTTGAGGAGAGGTTATATTTTGGATTAGATAATTATCGCAGTTTGATCAACTTAGCTTTTCACAAATTGGACTTTGGAATGTTACCTTTGTTAATTTAAATGATGCTACTAGTTTTTATTGTTTAAGCTATACTTAGCCATAGACAACTTCTGTCATGTTGGCCATGTCTTTGTGTCCTTCTGAAATGACTGAATCAACTGATTTTTCTTGTGAAACTTCCTTGTCTTTACAATAAAAACAGAAGCTAACTTTCAATCGGGGCTGTACCCAGTTTTCTCCT